TCTTTCTAGAAAAGATAGTCTAGGGGTTTTCGTTATATTCTCAAACAGGTTAATGACCCAAAGAAGGTAGCGATTCACAGATGATGCAATGAGAAGTATTGAAAGGGAAATATTGTATTTTATGACCATTCTTTGCAGGCTGCATTTGAGGAAGGATGGGAGGCAGGAGAGTAATTCTAGAAGTCAAACATGGAGTATTACTGATCTCTTAGACAAATATAAAATAAACAAGGCATGCAAAGAAAGATAGGCAGATTTTTTAAAGAACTAATTGACTAAATTTGTGATGGGTTACATGGTAGAGGTGCATTTAGCAAATATTTATTAAGGACCTACTGTGTGTGTCAATTAAAATTGGGAGCAAATGAGATATGATCTTTGCTTTCTTGGAGTTTACTGTTTACTAGGGGAACATACATTTGTCGATAATCACCCAAATATAGGACTAGAAATTGTGGCAATGCCATGAAGAAAAAGTATAGGGAATTTTGCATGCACAGAGCTTTGGGGACTTGATTTGATGAGGGATCCTTATGAAGTTATCTCACTAGCACTTAATTCTTAATTAAATCACATTTCTAGGGAGTGGACATCTGTTGGTTCTTTTAATTTAGCTTTACAAAAATATTTCCTCTAAAAACCAAGGCTTTTAAAAAATTTTTTTAAATGCTTGGCTAATCAGGGAAAAATGCTTTTGGATAGCTGGTACCATTATTTATGGTTGAAAAAACAACAGTATTTGACTATGCCAAGCTTCAGATTTTTTCTTTGATTAATGAAAATCTTGGCAAATACTTTTTATGATGCTCTGTTTTTACTAGGTCCAAAAGAGTCCACTCAATATGAATACTTTCAGATATCTCTTTTAATTATGGTGAATGTGTAACATCTGTGGGGCATCCATTTGGAAATATTTAGTAGTCAACTGATGTAATGAAAATGTAATGAAATCAAGGTAGTTGAGTTTGTGATTTCCGTACATCCATCGATGCCCTGCCATCATTCTGTTCCTTAGCCACTTGTGTGCTTCATGGTTGCAATGCATTGTCACTGATGCAAGACGTCCCTTCATTTCTCACTCAAGCTTCTGCCCTACTTCTTTCCAGAGATCCTTTACAGGTATTCTGTGTGGCTGAAGGACATATAATCTCTTAAATGAGTAGTTTGGTAAGCCAGCCACCTTCTTATCTGAGTCTTAAGTCCCCAAGATGAGAAACTGTAAAGGCTTTGGCGACAATCCAGTGAGAAAGGGATACGAATTTTATAAGGAAGGAAGTATTTCAGCAATTTTACGAAAGAATTATTAATAGTTAAACCTTTGCTTATAATAAAGGGCTAAGGGCTCTGTCAGGATTTGCAAAGCCTCCTGTTAGGAAGGTACAACCCGAAGACAATTGAGTATGAAAATAAGAGTTGTTAATTTCGGTCCTATGATAATGAGGAGAAAGCAGAGGGCCTGTGAAGCTGAGGGAGAGGAAGAAAGATTGACTTAAACGTGCTATGGGCACTTTCTACCAAAGACAGATGTAGGGCTAAAAACGCCAGGTCTGTGACAGGAGCAGTGGGCCAAGCCCAAGTACAGAGTGGTAGGAAGAGGTGAGGCAGGCACCTGTAACTAGGCCCATCTGTTGGGACTGATCTAACCACAGGTACTCAGATAAGACCAAGCTGGTGCCTGGCCCACTCTTATGGCTAGCTCTGAGCCAAGACATGGACATCACCCACTCGGCTTCTTTCCACTGACCAGGATCAGACAGAGGTAGTCTGCATTTTGAGGACACAGCTCTCTGTCTAGTGGCAGTTGTACCAAAGTAACTTGGTCTGATAGCTACTCAACCTGAACACTATTTCCATTGCAGCCCATGGGAAGATTTCACTTGCCTTTTAGCTTGACCTGGTTTATATGCTTTTTCATGACATTTTGAGATTCAACATAGAGCAAGAGTGGACCAAAATGATAAATTGACAATGTTATGTGCATGGATTTCCAAGTGGGCTAAAAAAGTTGCTTTATGGGTAGTAAATATGGCCTGTGTAATTTATCTCTCTCCTTTTCGCTGCCTTCTGCTTTTATGCCCTATGTCTGTTGAGTTTCAGTAATCAGGGGTCATCTCTGACCCTGACCCCAGGGGTCATCTCTTATCAATGATAAGTGTAGATAAACTGCATTTGCTGTACGTCTCTGCTGTTTCTAGTGGAAATGGGCTTTTGCTATTATATCTTTTATTAATATTAAAAATTTACATATTCCATTTATGTTGTGAAAATTATAACTTTATTGATTTAGTCATTGATTAATTTATTTAATATCCATATTATTTTGTTCCTTTTCTGGGTGAGGCACTGTGCTCTAAGGGCTTGGCATTTCAAAAGAGAGTAAGACACGAGGAACTGTGCAGATAGTAATGGAGATGAGAATGAATCAATTGAAAGAACACTGTGAGTAGTGGAAGAGAAGTAAAGAAAAACTTGCTATAGCATTCAGAACAGGGATAAGTTATTTCAAGTTTGTGGGGATTAGGAATGGCCAGTAAGAGAAGAATTCATGCAAAAGGTGACCTAAAAATACAGTATTCCTCTCACACTCATTCAGATGACTACTATAAAAAGCAAACAGAAAATACTAAGTGTTGGCGATGATATGGGGAAATTAGAACCCTTGTGCATTGTTGATGGGAATATAATATGGTGCAGCCATTGTGGAACCAGTGTGGCAGTTCCTCAAAAAATCAAAAATAGAATTACCATGTGATCCTGCAATTATACTTCTGGGTATATGTCTAAAAGGATTTTTTATTCTTTGTGGGGGAAGATATTTGACACATTGGAAGTTTTGTCCGCTCATATGCTACTCACTCACTCATGCATGCATTTAGCAGACATGTACTCAATGTTTCCTATGTGCTGGACCCTGAGCTCAGTACAACAGTTAATAAAGCTCATAAGGCACTGAATTTGCCGATTTCATGCTTGCTAAACATCCACTTCCACCCCCAAAGGCACTAAGCTTCCACAGATAAATCTTCATGAAGGCTTCCTACTGACTTGAATCCAGCGTGAGACATTAGTCAACAAACAGTAAGAAGATTTGAGGCTGATGGGGGGGGTGGAGTTTGACAGCATGGTGATGAAATGGAAAGAGACGCGTCACAGAATATGAACTATAATTGAAAACTGGGGGCCAGTGACCTCTAAAGATCACTAAAAAATGAAAAATTCCCATTTGAGGCTGCCAACCTCAGAGCTAAGTTATTTACAATGGAAAAATTGGCCCAATCAGACGTGTTCAACCCAAGGAGCCAATGTTTTGTGAATATCATGGCAAATGTAGTTTGAGAACTGCCACCATGAAGTTGTGAACAGTGTCAATGTGTGAGAAAGGCAGGGAGAGGCTATGAAATTTGGGCTAAAAGGACAGACAGGGTGTGTGAAGGGGAGGACCAGTGAGAGCCAGTGTGGCCTGGGTATTTGGGTGATGAAGGGGAGCAGGACCATGAGCTTTCTTAGCCAAAAGACCCTGGGAGCTCTCTCTCCAGTTTACATCAGCCATTAGCTTATCTCAGGTTTGCTGTTTTTGGTTTTAAAAAAAATCTGATAGGAATTTTCACTCCATCTATTTTTTTAATATCTGTTTAACTCTCTTTCCTGTACACCTTTGAACACTCTCTCCATTCATTGAAATATATTATTGAGTACCAACTACATACCAGGCACTGTGCTGGGCTCTTATCCCACCTTAGTTTGGTTGCACATGCCCAGCAAATCCTGGGTCAGTATAACGTCTGCCCTTCTGCCTGGTCAAATGAGAGATGCAAACTTGTCCTCATCTACTTCGTTCCCTATGTCCTTCCTTCCAGTCTTCTTCAAGGTGTCTTCATGGAGGTGGTTTATTTTACCCATGTCTTTAATCCTCTCTGCTCTAGCTTCCCTCTTGACTTTATTCTTCTATCCATTCCATCTCTGCCTGACCATTCCCTTCAGTCCACATGGGGCCGTCTCAGGTTTATTCCATTCTAAAAATCCGTTTTTGTCTTATATTCTTTAGCCACAACCCTATCTGCCTCTCTTTCCAGTCTCACCCAAGTTCTCAAAGGGATGGCTTCCACTCGCTTTCATCTCCTGACATTCCACTCACTCTTCCATCTGCCGGATTTGGGGTCATGCCTGTACCCTTCTGCTAAAACTCCTGGCTCAGAGTCCTCTCTGCCAGATCCCAATTCACTTTCTCAGTCCTGGTTTTCTCGGACTCCTCTTGCTTCCTCATTTTCTTGGCTCTACTAGACCTTTCTCACTGTTCATTTTCAGCTTCCTTTCTGCGATAGTCTTCTTCCGTGGAATCGTTAAAGGTTGGTGGGCCCATCTGGGTTCCTCTGCTCTCCACAGCCTACATATTCTTAAAGAAGGGTATTGAATATTGAAGAATAGTATCCTCAAATTACAGAATCAAATTACAAAAATGGATATCCAGGGTTACACAGTAATAATGACATAAATGTTTGAATTGTTATTTTTTTTCAACACGCATTCTCTGATGTTTATCAGTTCCTCTGAGTTCCAAATGCTCCAGCTGTTTTATGCTTTGTCTCTGTTTCCTAAAGACCCTTAGTGTGGTCTAGAATTGGAATGAGCATTGGTCTCTAATGGTTCTGAATTACTTGTAAATTCCTGAGAAAATGAATAAGTCTATTGGAAATCAGCTAATTTCATCTTGTCATTTTCTGGGTAATATATTCTGGTGTAAGCCGTCTGTTTTTTAAGCAAGTTTGCAATAAACAATTTCCCCTCAAGGTTAATATAATAGGCAACACCTTTTGCTGTAACAGACGGCAAGAGGTACTGAAAGATTAGTTTACATTATGATTCATTATGTCAAAAGGTCAGAATAAAGTGGATCTGCTGCATCTCCCAAGCCTCTGACTCTTTAGAGGAGAGTGCATATTTTGCTCTTTCTAATGTTAATGGATTTACTGTTGTTGTTGTTGTTTGTTTTTTTTTTCCAGGCCAAATTCAGATAATCGACGCCAGGGTGGCAGAGAGAGATTGGCCAGTGCCAATGACAAGGGAAGCATGGCCATGGAGTCTGCCAAGGAAACTCGCTACTGCGCAGTGTGCAATGACTATGCCTCAGGCTACCATTATGGAGTCTGGTCCTGTGAGGGCTGTAAGGCCTTCTTCAAGAGAAGTATTCAAGGTAATAGTGTGTTCAAAACAACTTATTCTACTTTTGATCCTAAGAGCAGATCCTCAGAGCAGAAGCCACTGGAGGAAGGAACACATATAAGCAGCCATTTGTATAAAACACTCATACCTACTAGGCCCACCAGTGTCGTTGGTAGAAATGTGGAGAAGAGCTAGGATCTCAGGAAAAGGAGTTGACAGATGCCAGGGCAGCTGTGGCTGAGTAATTCTGCTTCCTTCCTTTGGCAAGATCCAGACAGTCTTGAGCAACTCTACAGGAGGATTTCAGTACTGGGTCTCTGAGAAAAAAAAAAAGAAATGTTCTCTGTGCCCTGATTGTGGGAGAGCAGATGGACATTCATATTTTGCAGGTAACTGTTTTTTATATGATATGGTATGATATTAGCTGTCCATGCATAATTACCTCTCTACCTTGGCCTTGTCCAGGTAAATACTCTGTTCTCATCCTTGCTCTAGACCAATTCTAATTTGGCTTGTTCTCTTCTTCTCTTCTGTCTCTTTCTTGTCTCAGTGGATGACATGACCTTTTGCTAAAACAAGCAGACTCAAGGGCTGGTGATTTGTAATGTGAGGTGGGGTGGGTTGGGGGGGCAGGGGAGGGTACCGTCTGTACCAGTTACTTAGTATCCACCTCTAACATTTCTTTCTCCTGCCTGCCTCCATCCTTTTTCTTGTATATAGTTTACCAATTGCAGCTTCTCTGATACATTGTCAGCTACATTTTATTTCTACACCAAAAGTGTCTCTCTTCTTGCATTATATGGGATTCCCTGGGGAGACATCAATCATTTTTACTACCTAAAATATCTGTGCTAAAGATCCTTTGTCTGACAGGAACAGAGATCTGACAGCAATTTAGGCTAACTAAATTATTTTTTTTTGGTCTTAAATGTGGAGCTTTTTTCTCTTCTTATTCTTTTACCTTTTCAGCTTAAGGAAGGTTAGTATATAAATACTAAGAATATTTCTGATGGAGTTTTCATGTGATTCCCTCTGTGGGGAATCAGACCTAAGTAACTTGAAAACCAGTCTGCTAAATTAATAACGTGCTGATTGAAGAAGCGATTCTCATGGGCTTTCTGCTAAGATCTTCACTGCCCTGATATGAGAGGAACGCGGGGGGGATAATACGTACTATTTATCTTTCCTTCTATTGCCAGTGAGATTTTCTTTTTTAAAAAAGCTGTTCATATCTTAATCAAGTAGCATGTGAAGTCAATGTGCTCCATTTTAAAAGCATTTTCTTTGACACTTATTGCTTTCAACATCTTTTAGAACTCTGCTATGAGACTTGGACTTTTTTTGTTGGTATTTTTATAAAATGAATGATGTTCTTGATAGTAAATCTTTGCATGTGTGTATAAATAAATTCTAAGTATAAATTAACATATTTATTATCAATTTACTAAACATATAATAAATAAATATGGACAGACTATTTGATTTTACTAGCTGATACTGTCTTAATTCAGAAACAAAATATTTATATTTTGATTTAGGTTAACAGAAACCCTTAAAGGTCTTTTGACAGCCATCTTAATTTGTGGTTTTGCTGTTTATTTGAGTTTATATAATCTGAAATACCATTATTTTCACCAAGCATTTAGTCTGATATTGAAGAAACATCTGACAGAGGTATGGTTATTGGATAGATTCAACTACACACTTGGACAAATTTATCTGAGACTGAATTCCCTCCTTAGTCAAAGTGATTTACAGCAGTGATTAGCAAAGATTTTCTGTAAAGGGATAGATAGTAATTATTTTAGGCTTTGTAAACCATACAGTTTCTGTTGCAGCTACTCAACTTTGGCATTGTAACTTAAAAGGAGCCATAGATAATATGTATATAAATGGAAGTGGTTATGTGCCAATAAAACTTTATTTATGAAAATAGGCAATGATCAGAACTGGCCTGGGGGTCATAATTTATTGACCCTTGACTTAATGTTTATTTTATATTGTCTAATTTAAATACCATTATTTGTGGAAAGGGAATGAATGCTTTCTAAATCTAAAGTTTTAATTATTCATGTTTTATTGATAACTTACTCTGTACCTGTCTAGATGTTTTGAGAGAAATTTAAAAATGTGTACAAAAATCCATAATCCCATAAAATTTAGAATTTATTTGGGAAATTTATAGGGGAAGTAAAGATACTTGTTCTCATGATACAATAAGAAAGTAATCAGTATAGATAAATTTCTAACTGTGTGACAAAGGTAAGGAAAACAATAGATAAATATAAGAAAATATTATTAGCTATAAATGTAAAATTATTGAGATTGAAAGTTGGAATGACCTTCCTTTAAAAAACAGTAGTGATATTCACACAAATTATTTTCATCCCATGTGTTCAGCATTTAGGAGCATACCACATAAATTCTGATAAAATTTAGTATTGTTTCTAAGCATTAAAAAGAGAAAACACAGAATCTATGAATAAAATGTAAGCTTATAGAAAGATATGTTTTATTGTTATGGTATTATCTCAAATTCATATATTAAAAAAAATTTCTGGTTACTCTTTGATAGTTAGAAAAATATATCCCTTATCTCCATCTTGCATATGTAGGCCAAATAGTAGGCCAAACAATTTCATTGAAATTGTACCATATAAGAATGTAATTTCTACTTGGTTTCACAAACTTCATAGGTATTATGGTCTGAAGTCGCTTATAAAAGATTTCTTAAATGGGGTGAATATTGAGTTGAAGGTTCTGTAAGAAGCCTAGAAGCAAAGCAGAGTTATTAACTTTTAGAGATAGAGAGGGACCTTAAAATTAAGTTCATTCATTTATTCATTGATTACCTCTATTAAACAAAGCCCTGTGTAAGATCCTAGAGATGCAATGATAGGAAAGATCTGGCCCCTATCCTCATAGAGCTTGTGAAGTAGAGGGAAGGCTAGACAAATAAAAACCAACAATTAAATTACAGCGTCAAGATGGAGGTGAATGCAGCATCTTACAGGAGTCCAGACTTCACTTAGTCCTGGCAGGGGGTGAGTCAGACTCTCAGAAGTTTCCAGATTTCATCTGGAGGATGAGTTAAGTGAGCAAGGTGAAGAAGGAGGGAAGGAGTGTTCGGCCATATGAATGAGCCTACGTGTGAAGCCTGGGAGGAAAGACAGAGTGTGGAGAATTCTGTGCATAAAAATGGATGGAATTAATTTACCTTAGATTAAACAAAGATATTTCTGGGCCATGTATTTAATCTTAGACTGTGTAACAACAATGCAATTGATTTCCTTTTTACTTTAAAGTAATTTTCATGTGTTTGATTTGATTGTGCACATAAAAGGAAAATATTAGAGCAAGTTTAAGTATTTCTAGTCCTATTTTCTCATCATTGTCTGATAACTGGGAGCTAAAAGTTTTTGCTGAACATCTGTGGCTCTTTATAAATCATACTGCCCCTCAAACACATTTAAGGACAGTGAAGGGTCTGACATGTAGGTGGGAAGTTCTGAAGATGCTGCAGCTCTTCCTGTTTTCCTTGTAACTTAAGGAGAGAGAGAGAGAGAAATGAGTGTACATCAGATTATTCTAGTGTTCTAAGTGTTTTGGTTGAAGAGGCAAAGTGTTTGACTTGAAAGCATACAAATTTTCATCCACTACTTAGTGTACAAACTTGATTACTTAAGAGATTGAGTAATGGCTTCCAATGGAACATATTTTTTTTTAAAGCAAAGTGAATGTTACTTAAGTCAGAGGAGTGAAATGGGATATTCTATGAATTTTTTAATCATTTCAGGCATAGAAGTAATGTTCCTTAAGATATGTTTTAGATAGTATGGGTTCCAGCTCCATCCAGGAAAATACAAGATGTGCTATATCACCGTTGTTTCTTAGAGCTGAATAGTACTCCATGGTATATATATATATACCACATTTTATTAATCCACTCATGAATTGATGGGCACTTGGGTTGTTTCCACAGCTTTGCAATTGTGAATTGTGCTGCTATAAACATTTGAGTGCAGGTGTCTTTTTTATAGAGTGTCATTTGATCTTTTGGGTAGATGCCCAGTAATGGGATTGCTGGATCAAATGGTAGATCTACTTGTATCACTTTAAGATATCTCTATATTGCTTTCCATAGAGGTTGAACTAGTTTACAGTCCCACTAGTAGTGTAGGAGTGTTCCTATCTCTCCACATCTATGCCAACATCTATTGTTTTGAGACTTTTTGATAAAGGCCATTCTTACTGGAAATAAGTGATTCTGGGATAAGTTGTATAAGCAAATCTGGCTATAGGTTTAGAGCCAGGTATTCCCTTGGAGTATTATTCTAAGGAAAAAGGACTCAATTGATCTCACTACTTTTCTTACCTTATTATTTCAGAAGGTCATGAGTCACAGGAGGGATCCCAGCCTATCTACATACCACTAGCTACATTGTCACTTCATACTCTGTCTATAAGGTGTTTACAGAAGTAGCTCAACATCGAATCAGACGACAAGGTCCAGGCAGGTGTTGACTTACAAGTTGTCTAAGACTAGGACATGGTATCAGGGTGGAGTCTGATTATGGCTCAATGCAGTGGGGGCCTTAGGTCCAACGAGGATAACTGAGAGCTTCATCCACCAGGCCTTAGAAAGTGCCAGCGAGAGACAGTCCAGCACCCTGGATAGCTCCTTCAGTAGCTGCTGAAGGTAAGCAGAGCTTTATTTTCTAAAGAACTTCAGGTCCCTTTAGCTGGCACCATCTACTTTGTAAGTGATATTAAAATAGAACTTAGGCCTTCGAGGCTTGGGGACTCACTCTTGTTCACCCAGGATGGTTTGGTTTTCACATGTAGTTTCACATTAGTGTCCAGTCACCTTCTGGCGTGATGTATGTACCGCATCTGGAAAAGGTTAGAGACGGGTAAAAGTAGACTCTGCTCTTTCTTCATGCAACTGTTTTATCTCTGGGATCTTTTCAGAGGAAAAATTGAGATGCTGACCATATATGCACACAAAACACTAAATTGTTGGTCTCCATA